GCCATCCATGAAACAACTGTATTCTCTGTATGAAAACTCTCTAAAAATCGCATGCTAAAGTATCAGGAGGAGGTATTAAATACTCCGGATAACTTGAGAGAGTGGACATTCTGAAAAATCAAAATTGTATAATTTCTTGGTTTGACCGTCGGTACCTATATACAAAATTGTTTTCCCACCCCTTCCCCCAAATCTCAGTAGAGACAGCTTGTTCCGTGCAGAAAAAATGAATCCAAAAAGTCAAAGTTGACTGGTTTTTTTCTGGAATCTACATTCAATGGCAAGAATATCTCTTCTTAAATACAGTTACATTTGAGTGTTTTGTTTTTTTGGCGACTGATTCTTATGGAAAACTGAAAACTGAGCTGAGTAATACTGACTGTAACAAAATGTAAAATGCCAGAAGTTACTGGTTTCAATAAAAAGCATGGCTTTAGATGTACTTTTAGAATAACGTACCTAGTAATTTCAAACAACGGTAGGCAGTTTGTTACTAACTACTTTATGACTTGACCACACCAGGTAGCTAACCATTTTTCTTCCTTGTGTAAGTTCAAGGGGTCAAAAGATGAATCATACAAATAAGAGTAATTTTAAAAAAGTATACTTTGAAAAACATAAAATATATAAAATACAGTAGAAAAATAGTGAATTAAAAATATGAAATAACATAAAATAAAAAATACATTTCAACAGGACATAAAAATGGGGGAAAATACAGTAGAGAAGAATGTAAGCATTTCGGTAACATTTTCTTGAGGATATTTAAACTTTAAAAACTTGATAAAGAGCAGAAGATACAAAATGTATTGCAACTTTGTTTAAGTTGGAGGCATTTTTATATTCAATAGTGATAAAAACAAAACAGCTCTTGGTGCAGTTTTCCTAACTCCAAACCTTTAAATCCTTTAAAGTGTGGGGAGACATGACTTTACATTTCTAATGTTCATATAACTTCATGGTTTCAAACAGTATGTATTACATACTTCGAATGAAAACTGAAAATATGGACGAATTCAAAGGAAAGTTTAGTAAGTAGGGACTGAGTAACTTTTAAAATGATTCAGAGATGGACAAAAATGTAAATCTAGCTATCAAATTACAAAAATGAATTATGAAGAAATGAATGTGAAATGAATTATGTAGAAATATAGTACTTGTATGACTGATTGAATAAAGCACCTTAATATATTTAAAAAAAAAAGAAAAAATATTCAAAAAGTTACCTTAACTTTCATGGAAGATAGAATAAGTATTCTTACACATATGTGCCATCTTTTCAACAGAAATTGTTACATTTTTCCAACATCAACAATTGAAACGAGAATATTCAAGACTCATAACTTTAACTTGGACTAAAAACAATGTATTCTTAACAACATGAATGTACCATCATAATCTTAGACTGCATCAATTTAATTTTAATGTAGTCATTTAAATAGCAGTGAATCGAAGAGAAAAGAGAGAGAAATGAAAGAAGTCTACAATTTGCAGATCAATAGAAAGTTGAATAGTTTGGGAGAAAAAATTAAACAAATAAGGGAAACAATAAAAGAGAATTGAGAACTTAGAGTGAAAGACAGAACTCTCCTAAAACTATAAAAACCTGAGTTCAAAAATTAATACTTTTTTGGTCAAAAATTTAAAACTAATACAAATTGGAACATGCACTAACACTTTCGTACCAATTATGACAGTCTGTGAGTAGAAAATGTAACATATTACGAAATTAATTGATGTATTTTCAGTATGATGACATGGAGCATGAGAACATTCCATTTTACGGCAAAACTCATATCTGTGAGTACTCTACACATCAATGAGGATAAAGATTTCAAGATAAAAACGAAGGTTCCTTCTCCAAATTGAGAATGGACTCAAGTGGTGAGCCAGCATATTCTCTCAATCTTCCTCGTGTCCCCACCCATTCTCGTAGGGTGTTGAGGTTTCCTCTCATTGACGAAGATGACTGGACAATTAGTTTTTGGTGAATTTTGTACAGTTTGGTCAAAACGTGTTCACGATAAATTTGAAGTTCATTAGTTAACTTGAAATTAGCAGATCTTTCTGATTCAACAAGGTCTAGAAGTTTTAAGAGCCTCTCGGTCATGGTACCTGAGAAGTCTAAATATTCCATCCTGATGAGAGATTCATACAGTTTTTCGGAGACTTTGTCATGAATTTGGAGAACTGGAGCAGTAAAACATGTGGGGTAAAGACGGCCGACAAATTTTGATAGGCATTGCATCTCATTGGATGACTTAAATTGACATTCACCGGCAAATAGTTTGACTATGGTGAGTAGCTTCACCTCCTTCTTGGATACTGAGCTACCAATAGGCAACTGGGTTTTTCCATTAATATCATGAAGATGTACTAAGAGATTAGAGTGATCAAGTTGCTGGTAACATTTAGCCTTAATCTGTGCAGCTTCCTGTCCTGATAATAGAATGAGCCATATTTTACCCTCACGACGATGAATTAAAATTATATCGACTGGACGTAAATAGTTATCAAACCATTCTTGTGCATTGGTCTGTACACTTTGAATATAGTTCAAAGACATATAAATATCGGAGTGCCAAAAAATATTTTTCATATCAGGAGGCATTTGAATATACTGTTTAACAGAACGAATGGGCATGATGTAACCTTCTTGTTGTGCGAGCCCTATGAAATCACTTCTTAGTATCAGCCTTACATCCCAATCTTGTTCTATACAAGGGGTTCGTTCTTCAACATTGATCGAAAATTCCTGTTCTTCAATAATCTCAACTTCAACTTCTTTTTCTTCATCATTATCAAGAGAGTTAAGCACCCGACCTGTTTGAAGGTAAATTGCTACCTCATTGCAAATTCTCTCAAGTTCCCCTCTAAAAAACTTCTTGTCCAGTGGATCGGTAACCTTTTTATACAATTTTGAATTGTGCAACTGTTTGATTCGCAACTCCTTCTCAATCTCTTGATAGAATGCTCTTATTCGCACAGCCACTAAACAGTACAAGTGATCTGCTAAATCTTGATCTTCGGGAGTGATTGCATAAAATTCTTCCAATGAAAACAATTCCTTTCCTTTACAATACTTCACCAAACTTCTGAGTGCGTCTGGTGCCTCTTTCAGCCAACTCTCTGCTCTCTTCAAAAATTGAAAATTAATCTTTCGTACAGTAACCGCAAACAAGTCTGAATTGACATGGTTGATTGTATTTTGGGTGACCCACTTGACAACTTCAGGACCGTTGATCTTTGCCTTGTCCACTGAATTGTCACGAGCAATTGCTAATGTTGTAGCCTCAAAGCCCCACAAAGAAACAGATTGTTTCTTGGCAAGTTGTCGCAGCCTCATGGCCGCTTGCATCAGCTTGTCCTTCTGCATTCCCATGCTGACTGTCAGTATGGCATGACAATTCGGAGGGAGTTTTATATCGGTTCCACGGGTATGGATATCATCAAGGTAAGCAAATAAATTTTGCTTGTCAAGAAAACAATCTTGCAATGGCATATTTTTTTTGTCTCTAGTCATAACGGTTAAACTGTTACCCTCATCACTGAAATAAATAACTCCAAGGATGTTAGCAGGTAATCTTTCCAGTAGAAATGAGGCAGCTTCGAAATTGGTGAACCCAGTTACCAGAGCTCCAGCATCAATCAATGCATGACAGTGCAACTGTCCAGAAACATAATGACACAGCTGCTCTAATAAGGTATTGGTGTCTTCTGCCTGGAGCGAGAAATAAGAGGTATTCCGTTCTTCTGATAAAACAGATAATAACTTTCCATTGGTGCCTTCTTGCGTTGGTGCTGGCAGAGATTTGATCTGGAAAGGCATTGTTATTTTTCTATCATCTGTACCAGAAAAACCTAATGCTGCATTGTAACCAACAAGAGAATGTGCATTGGCACTAATTTTGAACAGATACTGCATTGCCTCTTGCATGAAAACGAACTGGTTCAGATAAAACGAAATTGTCAGATAATTGCAAGATAGAAACTGGTATACTTTCTCCAGACACTGCTCATCGGTTAAATCTAGATGTTTTAGAGAAGTTAGCATTCGTGGTGGGAATGAATCAGTTTGAGGTTCAATCCATGCTCGACTAGTTTCTGCCCAACTTTGAAGGTGGCTGTCTGCAACCTGATGACTAAATTCGTCTTTTAGTCGCATTAAGGACTCTTTTAGCTGCTGTTTATTCAACCCATGATACATGTAACTGGTAATAGTAAATCCTAATGTCACATCTGGATGACTGAATTCTGCACGAGGGGATGGTGCATCTTTGCCAAAGAAAGGGATTGCTATTAATTTCTTCGTATGCCCTTCGAGAGGTAGATGGAGATTCAAACCATACTGTACCCTGTATTTTGCATTAAACACATGGAACAAAATTCCGTGGGATAACCAGCCTTTTGCGATTAAAATTTTATCTTTCAAACAATCTTTGTCAGCCAAAAAAGCGATGACTTTTTTTTCTGCATCTGCGAAAAGTTCTGCTGCAATATACTGTCGTAGTGTGTACATTTCATCCTTAACTACACTTTCATCGGGTCTTATATTGTATTTTCTGAGGTTTGATGCATATTTAATAAAGAACTTTTCGATTAAGACTGGTTTTATGTTGTTTTCAAAGTAAGATTTGTTCAACAATTGTATAAATGGCACACCCCCTCGAGGACTATAATTTACATTGAGCACCGTTGATCCATCAGCTTTGCCCCGAGAGATAATTTCACGCACTTCATGATCACAGAAGATGGCCTGCATGAGAAATTGTGGTATTTGCCAACGTAACTCTCCGCCAGCAAAGAAAAATTTGTCGCCTATTGTGTAGTTGAGTTCAGTGCCATGTTTAAGAATCTCATCAGATTCATCCAGCAAATCAATGGCAGGCAATTCATCAATTTTATAAAGTAAACACAACTTTTCACTACTATCTGCAAACCCAAGCTTGGAATTATATAACAACTCTCGATAAGCAGCTTTTAGGCAGCTCCACTCCCTGAATGTCGGGTCATTGATAGTTTCTTTATATTGAGCGAATTTTTTGGCGCCTTGTCCTCGAGGTGGAACTTTAAGAATGGTATCTTCATTGTTAAGATATCGTTCAGCCTGTAAACATGCACGTAGACACGCGTCTTGTTTTCTCAACAACTGCTCCACTTGAGATTTTTCCAAATCATTATATTCCTCTATTTTTCGAGGCACTCTTTGACGATAAGTATCCCAGTTGAATAAACCTGTTGCCTGCATTTGCTCTTGATTTTCAAGCATCAATTCTCTTAATTTCAACTGCAAACATAGGCGGAATTCCGGTGTGACAAGAAGAATATGTTGGTCTTTTAGACATCTTTTGAGAACATCGAGAATCAATTTTAAATTCGCTGGAGAAATGTCTGTGTCTCTCTGAAAAGGTAAAGTGTAAACACGTTTCTTTATCAAACCAGTAAAACACCGATGCAAAGAGTTTTTCATTATTACCAATAGAGCTGACAGAACATTGATGCGGAGTACTTGCCGGCCATTTGCAAGATTACTGCACAATAAGGGTAGAATGACTGATGACTTACCCTCCCCCATGTTGAGCTGATACATTGTTTTTTTGTTTTCTTTCAACATGGCTTCAATGAGCTCCTGTTGATTCTCACGGATAATAATCTCATTTTCATATTGAAACAGGAACCAATGAGGATGACGAAAGCAGGAAGGACTAATTTGTTCTTCTAAGCTACTAACCAGACTCTGCAACACAGAAAACTGTTCGTCTTCACCTTTGCATTTTTTTAATTGTTCTAGGAGAGCCAAGTCCCGATTTATTTTTGCAACAATGATCTCTAGGCTTACATATTGTAACAATTTTTTGATGATGAAATCATGTTTTTCAATGCAATCTGGATTATAGGCTCCAAGTTTTTCTGGCTCTACTAGCAATCTTAAGATGTCTTCCTTTTGATAATGGTTTACTTTTCCACTATGCCAACGCAGAGCAAAGTAGTCGTCAGACTCACTGTTAGGCCGCTGTTCCAATTGCTCTTTGATTATTTCCCAAATTTCCACTGCTTCTAGGGAAAGCTGTTCGTGTTTCTTTTGCAATGCTTTTTCAAGAGTACTGCTACACTGCTGATTGAGCCAAGTATAACTGGATTGGGTCTCGTTGTGGTAAATCAACCAACTCTTCTTCAGCTCTTCACAGAATTGACGCTGATACTCATTTGCTGGCTCTTTCAGTTGGGCTTCGAATAAAAATTCTTCTTTTCGAGCCACTTGCTGTTCAGCAACAAAATATTTCCTCAAAGCTATGAGCGGCTTTTGAGAAATGGTCCATTTTTCCCAACTAACAGGTTTCACCGTGAATGTTGTGTATTTTTCTGCGAGCAGTCTCACTGTCAGTGAACTGTCAATAAAGGAGGCTATACTCCAAGACATTGTAGATTGGTCTTTAAGTTGGTCACACAATGATAAAACCTGAACAAAAAATTTAAACATGGAATCATTAAATGCAGCTTTTAAATAAAGTTTTCTGACGTCTCCCCGCTTGCTTGAATCTCTGAAAGTGACAAAACTTTCATAAAGAAGTTGACAATTTTTCCAATGTTTGTTCGGTATGCCTTCATTGTCTAGATCATATCTCCATAAATTGGACCAAATTTCTGAATTTTCCTGTTCGTAATCAGCTTTTGCTTTCCTTTCTTCTGCTTTTTCTTCTTCCCAATTTTTATACTTCTTTCTTGGATTCCAATGAAAACCTCCAAAAGCACGTACTACATTGTGTTCGGTAATACATCGGTCGCTTACATCTACAGAATCTTCATTTACTCCAAACCAAGAGGGGGGATGAGGGAACAGGACTGAATTTTCAGCTACAAGAAGGAGCCCACGGGCCAACATCATTACAAGCTTTTCTGGAAATTGCGAATAATTAATTTTAGCCCTGAGTACCATATGATGCAATAAATACTGATACTTCTCCACGGAGATGAGGGAATACTTTGCAAGCTTGTAAAGTGGGATGAAATGGTTTAAATCAAATCTACTGAGCAATATTCCATCAAAACCTGATGAGAAATCTATTTCATCTTCTGCAAGAGTGAATCGGAAATATGAAATGTTTGAAGTGAAGAGTTGCAAGAAAGAAGTTTTGACCATGGAATCTTTAGCAAATAACTTCCCATAGTGATCTTTGTACGACTTATTACACTCCACTGATAAGTCTACCCACTGCTTTCGTTTAAAGTACAATTGTTTGTAAGCTTCAAATAAACCAGGGCATCTATCCATAATTTCCTCCTCCTCTTCACGACTAAGTCTGATAACTGAAAAAATTGTTGATTTATGATTTATATACTGTGAGATCAAAAATGGCAGGTACTTATCACATTTGTTCAATAATTTATCACTGTCATTTTTATTCTCGAGATTTGCCTTGTCAGTATACAAAAATGAAAGTCGTACACTGCTCGTCAACAGAGATACAACTTTCAAATAAAGCGCAATTCGATTAGGGTGAAAATCTCGCATTCTTCTAGAATCTAAGAATTGAGCAATAATGTTCAGTTCTACATTATCAAAAGGTTCATCTTTCCAACAAGCCTCCAAATTTTTTCTTGACAGATGATAGGCATTGATATTGGATGCATCGTGATCATCTAGAGAAGAGGAACAGTAATACAGCAAAGCTAGGTAAAGCTGAGCACGCGTATGATGACATTTCAATAGGCCTGTCTTTGAATCAAAATCGTAAACAAAGTACGATGGAGTCTCAACTTCATTGAGGGTTGCGACTACCGTCTTGTTATAGAAATGACCACCAGGTTCTACTTTGCGATGCGGAATAAGCACTTTGATTTTCAGAGCTGTGGAGTTGGGTTCTTCTTTTTCTAGTACAAAATAATTAAAAAATCCATCCAGAGAATGAATGCTCTGTTTCTCAGCAAGAGAGTAGCCATGTATCTGTTTACAATAAAATTTACTCTCTTTTTTGTAAAAATGTAAAGCCAGACGTGGAAAATGTAAGGCTGTAATATGAGCTGAAATACTAGGAGCTTGTTGAGCAATAACTTCGATCCAGCTAAATGATTCAACACACTGAAGCCATTGTTTGAACGTGGAGTCTTTTAATTGGCTCCAAGGGACAATGAACCCTTCTTGTTTCAAAGAATAAACAAAACTGGTCTTCAAGTCCCATTTGTAAAGGACATTGCGATTTTGATCTTTCACAAAAAGTAATTTTCGGTCACTACTGAGCCAATGTGAAAATAAGTGATTCCCATCAGCTGATTTACGGAATAAAGCAGGATAAGCATCTTTGCGCAGTAATTCTTCGGCAGGGATGTATAGCTGATAGCTATTTTCGATAAATTCTTCGATCAACAAATTATCTTTAATTAGAGTTAACCTGGTTTTGGGTTCATGACTTACTGACAGAAAGCAAGGCAAGACATGGCCATCTACTTCTTGAGAATCTGGCATCACTGAAAAATTTACCTGACCAAGATAAGCTTTGAAAATTCTATGTTTATATATACCCTCAGGTAGCCCTGTGATAGGCCTATTTTGGAAGTAAATGCTGCCAAACAAAGGTTTCACTGAATATTCTTGGCAAAAAAACATCAAACCAAACTTGCTCTTGTGCCACGTCTTCTTCTCGTCCCACTGAGGATTAACGTTTGCAATTAGATTATTGAGAAGTATTGGGTTTTGCTCGAGGTGATGCTGGAAACTCGAACACCATTTGAAACTTGACACGTACATTTTGAGTGAAACATCATTATTCAGACTTAATCCCTTTGCTTTATAGTTCTGAATGGTAAACAAAGCTTTTAATACTGTCAGCATTTCTGTTTCCAGTAATGCAGGTTTCACTTGTACACTAGTAATTAAATATGCATTGAGATGCAGCAACGTGGAATCACTGAGGTGGCTAGGAGGCTGCACTAAAACTTCTTTTAGTAAGTAATATATTTTCACCAAGCACTCCACAAATTCATCTTTAAATTCTACAGGATAAAATGTCAGTAATCCTACACATATTTCAAGAATATTACCTAGTGCTTGATGTTGAGTCAAACGATGTCGCATTACTAGTGCTTTTTCGATGAAAAGTAAACCTAATTGATGAATTAAAGAAGGATTTTTGTCTACTGTCCACTGTAGTAAACCACAAGACCCAACTCCTATTTTCCGCAGGGCACTTATTTCAAAAAGAGTTTGCTTGATAAGGACGCAGTCTTCCTCACAGCAAATATCCAGTTGCAGGTCTTTCAGCGCAATGTACAGGCGTTCAATTTTTAGCAGAGGGACACTCTGCAAGAACCCCAACTGCATGTAACGATTACGGTCCATGAAATGAGGTTTCAGATTTTGACTTGCTATTACCTCATTTTCGGTAAGATGACAGATATTAATGGGTTCCTCCTCTGCATCTTCTGAGACACCATCTTCGGTAAAATGATTGTGAGCCTTAAATATATTTTCTTCTTGAATAATCAGTCGCTGATACAGGCACTGGCTTTTCATGAAGCCAACTTTGACGGAATAACTTGTCAACGGGTTCGAGTTAGGTTTGGTACTTACAGTGATATTATCTACTTTAAGCTTGACAATCGAGCGCCAGAACTCAGTCCTGTTTACAACCCATTGGGGCTCTTCAAAGTATGAAGAATTGGTAAAATGCCATTCTACTCCAGTGCAATTATGCTTATTCCATGAAGGAGCATTTATCAAGGAGACTTTTGCAAAATGAGCTGCTTTTGATAGTGAATCATAGACTGATGGCAAGTACACATCAGTGTAAGCAAGTTTTTGCCACATCCTGTTGTATTTTTCAAAACATAGATGGCGATGATCTTTCTCAAAACGAGAATAAGAATCCGGATATTTCAGAAGTAAACAAAGGGCAAATTGGACATCAATATCTTCTGTTGCAGCATCATTACTAATTTCAAAAGAAAAATCTGAGTTCTGAAATTTACTATGTGAAAATAATGTTTCACAGTCTTCTTTTGGCATGAAAAAGGATTCAGTAGAGAATAGAACTTTTAGCCATGATTCATTAGGAATCACAAGATGAGGTATGATTTCATGTAAAGAAACAGTGTCACTTACAGCTACACTTAAATTGTACTTTGTTAATGGACCTTTGATTACTTTGTCTCGTAAATTCAGAGCAGTAATAGATGCGTACACAAAAAACTGAATGATTACGTTCTTGGCAAAAAAATAAGGTTGGTATTGCAAACATGACAAGTGACTGATTAACTGTCCTTGACAGTTGTAGAAAATTTTAGCAAGATTTAATAACATTTTTGCTAAAAGGGTATCATCACTTGAAAACTGAGAGGTATCTGATGTTTTCAAAATACTGGTGTTTGCAAGATAATCAATAAAGAATACTTCGATGCCGTAACTAAGTAATGCTACATCAACTAAGTCATTTGACTTTATTAACTGGTTAACGAAGCCGCTTGTAAAATGGTTCAAATAGACCATTATGTCATCGTCGTTTTTAGGCTTCAAAAAAACAGGCTCAAGTTTCAAAGTAGGTAAATCGAGACTTTCCGAAGAAGCAGCGAGTTCTGTTAAGCATGGCATAGGGAACCTGAGCGATAAAATATGAAGTCCATGCAATTGAGATCCTTGACTCGCCAATGCTGTTAGTCGAATACACCTGTCTTTGGTGAATACTTTAATTTTATCGATCAATTTCCGTGAAAAATCTTTTTGTTCCATACTGCCATGATCAAGTGCTTGTTGCGCTAATTCATGGCACATTTCTTGTAGTAAAAAATGAGCCAGCTGTGTCTCTTGATTCCGATAAGAAACCAACATTTTTTCAACTAAGGATATTTTGAAGCCAGTGATTAATGTTTGATAGGGAGCATAATATGCGTCACCAATAAAGTGCTTTAAGAGATATTTAAATGCCTGATCGATCACCAGCCACGTATGAGCAGGTGATATAGGAGAATGAGGCATGAAACTTTCGTCATTGTATGATTGCAAAATTGTTTTGCCATTTAAAAATACCAACAGACACTCATACAGCGACACTTCTTTATAATAAAATTTCTCCCCAGGTTTGATTGCTTTTAAGCCCACTAATAGGAACAAAAAGTCTTCTGTGATATCATCGGGATTTATATCAGTGATTTCAAGGAAAGATTTTATATTTTCACCAGCAAGACCCTTGCATTGTTGGTGATAAGGGCTACCAGGATTGACATGAATCCAATCAATATGCTTGTTCTTTCTATGTTTCTTCAAAATAGCGATATTAGCTTGATCATGAGATCCAGTGATGTCTTTCATGACTTTGTGACAATAAGACGCTGATATTAAGCCACTCGGAATAATTGTACAATTTTCAAAATTTTGAATTCTCTTCAGTAAATTTTGAGCCATTTTTCTTGCCTCTTTTCTTCTGCCATCTTGACTTTTGTGGTTCCTGATTTTGTGAATGACGCTCAGGTCCTCTGACCATAGTTTTAATAACTTGCTGACAGCATAGAGTTGACCTTTAAAAGAACTGCACGGGCCTTCTTTTCCAGACTTTGATAGTTCACTTTCCAAATAGCAGCTGAGCAGTGTAACTAATATTTGTTCACGTTTATCAGGCTCTGAGAAAGGGTCATTTTTATGGGTTAAAAAGGAGCCCCCAAATATTGAGGCAATTGCTGGAAAAATACTTTCAAATTTTTTTTGCTCCATGTTATGCTCAAAAGTTTTCTTCAGCTACAGTGTCAATGCAAAATAGTAATATTTGATACTTGAAAATTAATTGAATTGTAATTGAGGTGAAAGAAATTTCCTTCATATTGACTACTTACGGGTGGTAAAAAGGGAGATAAAATATTTTAAGTTTTGATTTCTCTATTGGAAAAAGTAAAAGTGCTACTGCAGACATACAAACAGCAAAAAGAGGTCCAGCCGGGCAGACTATTCAGCAACCTGAAAAATTGTTCACGAAAAAAGTTAGAGTATGCAAGTGAGAGAGTTGAGATGTCAAATGTTTAATGGTTTTTCCCCACAAGTTGAAACCACAGTTAAAGAGGCATGTTTCTTAAAAGTGAGGTAAGTCACCCACGGAATGTTTTATACTTGATTACTAGGGCATCTCTGATAAATGTATTGTGCCTACAATTAAGTCTTTCCATTGTTCTTATGATGTCTTGTTTGTGTTCAAGATTATAAATAGTTTCTTCCAACTAGAGTTATCTGATATGTTATCCTATAGAGATGTCAATTATTCACTCAGGAACCCGGGGCTGCTTTTCGTCGAGCCAGCCAGATCAAACTCCACTATGAACTCCTTGTTTTTCAGAGTCGCTAGAGCATGGAATGCATCGGCTTTTATACTCCGTAGCATGGAGGGTCTGCTAGCTTTCCGTTTTGCAACCCAAGACTTCCAACTGTAGGGATACCCATAATGTGCCTGTTGCCTTGACTAATTGCAAAATTGCCTCTAGAATTTTTATAATGTCATTAAGGCTTAGGACGCATGAAGATGTCACATTGTCTTGAATATTTTCTTCACATACCTTTTACATTTTCTTCGTAAATTTTGTTTTTAAGGTCATGTCTGTTTAATGCCTGAATGAATACATATATATATAAAAAATAAATAGATAAATAGGTAAATAAGAACTGAAAAATTTATTCGGCTCCAAGGCAACTATTGGCTATATAGCACCTGCAGTGAGGTGGAACATAACAAGTTTTGAAAAGTCAAGGGGAAAAAAGGGGGCATACATGTATAGAGTAACAGGTAACAGAAAATATCAGAGAAAGAATGATACAAAAAATAATGGGAGTGATTGGATAAAGAAGAGAAATTTAAAATGTTAATTGTGGAGTATTAAAAAATTAGAGGATTTTTGACTGCTCATTAATTTCAGGGATTGGTCAAAAGGTTGAATTTAAGTGCATGTATGCCTCATAAGTGTGAACTAGTTAATATTATGAACACCTCAACCAAGTAACTAGAGTAGCAAACTTATTCTGTTAAAAGGAAAAAAATATTTCACTGAGTTTGCTGTTCAGAAAGTGTAGGATATCTCCAGCTACCTCACATAGCTACTTCGTCCATTACCAGAGCTGATGTTTAGTTGGTAGAATGACAGAGCTGAAGGTAACGTTTACAGTGAGTGCACATAAAAACAATCTTTTCAGGATACTTACTTACAGAGAAAATTCAAGATTGAAACCTCAGCTTTGGATGAACACTATAGATGCATACTCCAAATTCCTTGACTACCACATCCAGATTTTCTCTGCTTCTTAGAGATCCAATAATTCCTTGATGACAAATCAAAAGCAAGGGTTGATCTGAGCAGAAATAAATGAAGCTTCATTAGCTGAGTACTCAGGAATGGTTGAGATGAGATTAAAATTATAGCGGTTGGAGCCTTCTGTAATTGATGAAGAAGAGTGAAAACTTTTGCGATTTAGAGAATAAGAAAGGCATAAAGTTTAGATTAATAACAATGAGTTTTGTGACTCCGAAAAAGTTTAGGATATCAACCTTTTTTCTTTTCTTTTTATTACAAAGTTCACATTAAAAGAAGTACTGGCAACCTTTCATGGTGGAAGTTAAAAAAACTTCCATCGCGATTATGACAATGCAATACTACAAAAAAAATGCGGATCTAGTGATCCTAAAAACTGATGATAATCTTTCAAAAAATAAAACAACAACTGCGTTCCCGAAATTCCTGCTCACCTTGGTAAATGCCCAGACCAGTCAAGGGAAGAGAGCTCCCAACAGCTGAAAGTAGGCAGCTCTACTTTTCCAGCAAATATATTTTTGCCACTGAGTGATGACCTTTCTTCGGAGTGCTTTCCTTCGGTGGGGGAGAGGGAGGGTATATGGAAGCAGCATGAGGTGGAACGATTCTTTCGTGGCTATTACCTTGAATCTGGTCACAATTTACAACTTAGAATAGTTGGCTATTAAAGTTTTAAAATTGGAGCACAAGTCTTCAACTTCTGTTTCGCAATACAACAAGCGAATGATTTTCTGTTATCTCACTCATGCATCTTATGTAATAAGATAAGCTGATACCATTAATATTATCAAATTTGTCCATCTGTTTTCAAATCTTTCTTGCCTTTCCTGCTATTGACAGTAAGGTCAAGAGAGATCGTCTAGATTTGTATTTAAAAAACGTCGCATTCAGCCAATTGTACCTATGGACGTTTAGGTCATTTATGGGTCATTGACAGCGGGACATTTTTTTGTTTAAAAGGAATAAGATATTTCTCCCCTTCACCGGAAACTTCTGTTTGGTAAAGTAAATTATTTTTATGTTAAGTGTGTATCGAAAATGATAGAGAAAACGAAAAAGGACACTTGAATTATATTTTTGATGAAAAATATGACTGCTGAGGAGGAGATATTGTTGAACATAACGGACGGTATAATTTTCACGATGACAAATTCAAAAATAATTTTTAAAAGTGCAATTTAACAATTTTACTTGACATTGATTTTTCCGACACTGTTTTATGTTGAACTCAAATAGTGCACTTAAAATTTATTTGGGTCACTATTTGATGAGAAAATTAAATTTTTTATGGTTTCTGAATATGGACCTCCAACATTTGTAATGTTCATGACGTTCTATTTTTAATTATAGCTTTTCCCATGGGCGGATACAGAGAGGGGACGTAAGGGGTTTGAGTCCCCCTGTTTGCCCGAAAAAGAGGAGGAAGAAAAAGGAAGAGAGGAAGAAGGAAGGAGTAGAGGAAAGAAGAAGGAAGGATGCTCGTGTTTGGTAATTATTCATGACGAAATTGACCAAAATTCCATAATAGGTGCTTTAAAGGTTGGGCCTTGTTGGTTAGCGCATACATTTCAGTTCAATGGTGTCATTTTCTGAGGTGACATTGTCCATTCCAAAGACATTGAATCACGTAGACCGTGCACCCAGTGTTACGGAAGGCAAAGCAACTTTTAAAAATTCGCAAGTGATGAGTGGTGGCACCGACCCGTATCGATGAGTTCGTGTGTCCCAGTTGCGCACATCTGCGCATGCGCAGTAGCGGCTCCAGCAAATTTTTGTCGGATTGTGAGGCTTTTTTCCTCTGTTGATAATTAGTTCGGAAAAATGAAACAATGCTAATCGGGTGTAAAATTATGTGTTCTATAACTTTGCATCATAGAAATTTTGTCTGAAAATGTACTCTAAACGAGATATTCGTGAAAAACCGAGCGCAGGCATGAATTCTCCATTGCCTCTCTGCAGTCTCTTCGAGTGCTTGGGACACATGCTCTCTCCCCTGCCCCGCCTGCCTATCATGGGGCTCCGAGAGACTTGCTTCGCTCCGCCAGTACTAAACCGAGCCGAACGCACGGTCTATGTGATTCAATGTCTTTGGTCCATTCTCTTCATTCCCAGTTCTGGTACCTCCTCAATGATGCATCACATCTGGTGCATTTAAATCATTCAGTAACCCCAGCACCTTCTGCGTTTAAGAGTCTCTGAAGTAGTAGCTCAAATTGAAATACGACCAGCATTGATAGGGCTATTTCATGCGCCAGGGATTGGTGGTGCAAATACTTTTCCTTATGTTTGCTAGAAATGGGATTGTGTTATCATTGGTTTTACAAAAATTTCAAATCTCTGAGATACGGAAGAGCTACATCATCTACTTTGACAATGGCTCATGTGTCTTCATCTTTGATGCACTGTACTTCCAGCGGTACCATGTTGACTTAAAGCATTGGATTCCTGATAATGTTCTGTACTTTGAAAGGATAGTAGTTGTCATTGATTGTGAAAGTACTTGTGCATCTTGGCACCATTAGTGAAAATTAAAAGCAACTACCTTCTAACCTACCTGCCGCATCACAATCATTCTCAATCCATATTTGAAGCTGGCTGTAACTGTTGTTAGAGAGGCGATGAAAATTAATAACATACCTAGAAACAATAAGTGGGTATTATTGCAGCACGTTTGGCAAGTTATATCTTGTAAGAGCACTTTTACTTACTTGGAGTGCGATTTCGCTCCTGTCAGATGAAAATAGGAAGAACAGGATCAACGTGAAGATCCAGAGATCCGACAAGATCAGAGACAGAATCGATGAAATGGCTAACAAAAGGTCCGTGGACGTATAATACACGAAACTAACAAATGTCAAATAATAATAATCAAATTAATAATAGCTGAATATACTTTTACTATGACACGATGTAACTACTCATGACCACGAGCTTGGGGCGCGATGCGCAATTCGACTGCCTAAACTTTGCAAATTGCTAGCTCAACGCAAATGCAATGTGATCTCATTGGAATTTGCAACATGAGCAAGCGTGAGAAAATACAAAGGAATACAGGTTGGAAATTTGGAATACAGTGCCGGTCTGTTTACATTTGATAACAGAGCGGGAAGAAGAGAGCTCTGATTGGATAAGTACTTATTGCGGCAAAAATACAAAAAACTGGCGGGAAATTTGAATTGACGGACGTGACTTCGTAGTTGCGACTCAATAGCGTGCCACGTGTTCACTCCCCCATATAATAGTCAAAGGGTTTCCGTTGGCGAATTCATTGTAGTATCGATATTTTTTGGTAAAATCACCTCAACTTATTAAAATTTGATGATGGTGTGCCTACCTGTCGTTTGAAGGTTAAGTTTCAATTTGGGCTAAAGCGCATTTACCACTAAACAATAAATAAGGCCATCGTCAGTACCTACTCCTCTCACGCTGATTTTCTTTAAACGTTATTTCTTTATTTTTATTTCTCGTTTGAAGAAGAAGAAGAAGGAGAAGAAGAAGAAGAAGAAGAAGAAGAAGAAGAAGTTGAAAAGATAATTGAGAGGAAGAAAAATAAAGGAGGAAATAGGAAAAAAGCGGAAGAAAAATAAGCAAGCAGCGAGAGGAAGAAGAAAAAAGTAAGAAGGAGAAGACAAAAAAGAGAGAGGTAGTGAAATAAGAATAAGAAAAGGATGAGAAGGTGCGAGGAAAGAAAGAGAAAAAGAAGATGAAAAAAGGAAGATAAAGAAGAAAAAGAGGAAGAAGAGGAAAAAGGAAGAGAGAATGAAAGAAAAGAGAAAGCAGATGAAGTAAGGAGAAAAGAAGTGCATGATAGAGACGTTAACGCCATTGTTAGTTCGCCTTCAAATTTTAGTGCAAGCAACACGAGCTCCTACGAGTTCGAATAGCGCCATCTTTTAAGACTATGGTCTTAAAAGATGGCGCGTTTACTTAAAGTACACTAAAAAATAGCTTTCTTTTGAAAACAATATCCATTGAGTTACTCAATTTCATGATAAGGTATCTAGACCTGTGAATTTAGACACAGGCTTTTCTCTAATTTGTGACGTGGAGTACCTTAAATGACTCGTCCAGATCCTTTACATGGTAGAACTAGGGTGCGGTACATCGCATGGATTTAGTAAAAAATCTTGGCGGATTTTGACTTTTCATAAAAAAGGACGATAGCCCTTGCATGTGAGCTTTAAGAAGCATTGCCCTACCGAAAAAATGGCAAAATACAGAGAAATAAAGGCATGATTTTTCATAGAAAAAACGTTTCGTTTGATACGTAATTGACATTTGCGTCGTATGCAGAGATTTTTTCCGAGAATCATTGTCAAAATCATCTAGGAAAACCTATCATTAAAAAATGCTGAAAGTTTGACTGGGATAATCTGGTTCAGATTTTTTTTGGAGTCTTTCCATAGAGAAAACATTATTTTAGTTCGATGGCCAAAGTGTTAAACCACGTATCTCCGTTCACGACTTCCTTCATAGTTCATGGTTCCTCATCCTCATACACTTGTTAGTTTCCTCAAAAATCAAGTCAATGTTATTCATCGAAAACTTATTTGGCTTTTCGTCTCCATCAGCAGAATATACTGTAAAAATTTCAAGCTATTAAGGTGCCTTGGTGATCTTCGAAAAAATGAAATAGAAGCGGACATTTTGAGACACCGCAATGGATATACGTGGTTCCGCACTCAAGCCAGCAGGTCTCTCAACACCGCTGCAGGTGTCAAGAAACAAAAACTACGTATTTGTTTCATTAAAGTTACTCAGGTAAGAACCTCTACACAGCAAAAGTATGTAGGTCATGTGTCTGGGCACTCACATGGTCATTTTTTAGAGAAAATTTCACTCCGTTTACCAGAAAATAAAGAAACAGGTGACATTTTACTAAATAATTTGTTTAATTGCTGTTTATCACAAAAGTTCGGTAACATAATAAATTGAATTAATGGTAGAAGAAAATGGCAGTGATAAAATTAGACGTAGGTACGGGCGTAGTAAAATGCCGTATCGTTAAAAAAGGGGGACGAGGATGCCAATATTGTTAACGAACGTACAAAGAATAGAGATCAACTAATTTTTAAAGGCTTAATGAATACTTATCCGTATCGGAGTACTTATGACAGAAAGTTTCTCATACGGAGGTAACTCTGAAACGTAACTCTGCGGTTAATTTTCTTCACTCACTACAACATTTATGACAAGTTAGTATTTGAATACAGGGTGATTCAAGATTAATCGACGTGGCTTGAAAAGTCAATGCTTGCGGAATGAAATAATGTTTTTTTCTTTTTTATCAGTAAGTATTTCATTTTCTAAAGCTACTTCCCCTCGAAGACACTGTCCCCTAAAGTTTGAGAGAAAAAAATTGTTTTTCTTATTTTGCGTTTACGGGTTAAACTAGAACAGCGGTACCCAGACGTATTTACAGCGGGGGGGGGGGGGGGATCAAGTGCCTCTCGATGGATAGACATGGAATATTTTGAGTGCCGAACAACCGTGCTCATATAATCAATGTCCCACCAAAAACATCAATTAAATTCCTCATTTCTTCACACAATGAGTGTTCCATAGGTTATCCTCCGGACGTTCATTTTTAAATAATTTGTTCCATAAACGCAACGGAAATGCTCGACAAAAATTCGACATTGGGGGTAAGGGTTATAATTCTGAGGAAATGCGGTTTCAGAAAAATGTGATACCGCCCACCCTATACCGGGAAATATTATTTTAATAACTTAAAGAGTCACCTCTTGAAATCTTCGAATTTAATCTTGAATCACTTTCTATACTATAATATTAACAGAAAGTTTAACCCCCTTGACTGACAGGGTTGGACGCTACTACGCAAAAAAAAAAATACATTCACTGGAGGTAGTTGAAAGAGAATAACAGGGAAAAGAAAAAAGAAAGAAAAACCCACCCAACAAAGAAACAAACTGGATCAGTGGATTACTCCAGCTTCCTTTTATGGATAAGTAATTAACATTATAAAAATTTTGTATCACGAGACGATGAGTTGATGAATGAACATGCCCAATTATTTTCGTCACACCCACCCCACCGACTAAATCATCTAGATTTAAATTTTTCAAGACATTCTAAAAATAAAAAAACAAGAATAAACAGTTCCCTTCCAATTATGTAAAAAGAATGACACACATTTAAATAGGTATCCAAGTACACTTATCTACAAAGATTCATAACGTCTTTCAAACCGTCTTTAATGATGATTGCATGCTGTGATACAGGAAGTTATTTTTGCAATACATGCGAGGAAAAAAACTGTTAAACTTTAGTTTTCTTGTCTCTGTACAATCTGATTTTTCTCAGATTTTGATGTGAACTCGTTTAAAATTGAACTGTGTTGTTTGGAAAAAATGGCATATCATTTATTTCAAAAAAAGCTATTCCATTAAACGTTATTTACAGTTTCTTACTCCACAGGAGAAGACGTGCTTATAACATAGATTCATTTTCGCATGGAAGAAAGACGAAATGATTCATTAGAATGATTGGGTTCACTGGAAAAAAAAAATCGGCAAAGAAAGGATGATATGTTTGCAAACAACAAGATCTCATAATTACTGTGGAAAAATTTTCAAAAAATATTTTGAGCAATTATGCAAGTACATTATAATTTCAGGCTTCTTATTTTCCCATCAATAAAGGTTTTTTTTTTTTTTTTTTAATTGGTTGCTCGTAACAGTTAAAGTCCTCGCCATTGACTGGTTTTAAATTTGCTTAGTCAAGACTTTGGTTGCCGCTTATCTGAAAGGCTCATCGTCTATTTTTTAGCGAAATGTGTCGACTCGGTCTGTGGGAAAGTGCGCGCAAATTTCGTCGCTCCTCTGACGTAAGGGCGTATATCGATTTCCACGTGAGTCCTGTTCTCCGTTTAACTCTATGATTTTCGGGGCTCATGCGGAAATAAGCCCGTGTCACACTATCAAAATACTCAATCAAAATGTCAAGGTCAAGTGCTGTGATTGGTCCAAGTCATCGAATAAGCCAATCACAACACCTGACCTTGATATTTTGATGGCTAGCTTTGATAGTGTGACACAGGCTTTAGAGATACGCCCTTATGTCAGAGGAGCGAGGATTTGTTTGAAATTACGATGCTCAAGGATGCGCCGAAGGGGTTTTAGAGACGGTAGCGTGGAATCCTGTGTCCCAGTCGGCGTAGTAGTCCACTTTTCGGACGGAACCGTCGGGCTCCACCAGGCTGTACTCCCCTTTCACAACCTCCCCGTCCCGCTCCTCGTGTTGTTGCTTGTTGTCGCCGGTGGAGGGATCGGAGACCGAGTACTCGAACGCGTAGCGTGGATGCGCGTCCTGAAACAAAAAGGGAAAAAATATGAGGTTCTTAAAGGCCTTGAAAATTATCCTCGATTCACCAACCAACAATCATGCAGTAACACTGCAAAAATAGCTGGAATGTATCGCAGAATGATGTTGCTCATCGCCTAAAAGCAAATGCAGACGCACTGCATGTCCAACTGTCCAAGCAACTGAGGGAAAATATTTCCCTGAGAAAGAAAATTCATCGTATGAGCCGAACGCTCGGTGCTCAAAATCGGACGAGCTATTTGGTTTCTTAAGGTGATTCGACGGACGCCATTTTTTGTGTCAGAGTGACGTGCGATATATCGCATCGATTCGTTCCATAATTTCAGCTTCTTGTCATTTTTTCGAATTTTGAGATCGCACTTCTGTTGTCATGAATCTAAAAAATGCATGTACCAAATTTGACAAAGAAATTCAACGTAATAAAGGCGTGGTTTTTTCAGAGGAAAAATATCGCATTCGAGTGCAGTTTCGATATCAGTATCGAATGCGATATTTTTCCTCTAAAAAAACCGCAGTATACTGGCGGCAGTATACTAGCGGCAGTTGGTGCTGCACGTCATGAAATTGAAGACTTTTAAAATCCTTACCTCAGGAGTTTTTTTTACGTTCTGACATCGATTATGAACGAAATCAGAGTCCCAAACTGATTGCGGTAAACACACGAGTCGTAAGACAATGATGGAGTTTTTTAGCCATCGTGCGTAAAAAGTTCAGCTTAAAGCTGATATCTCATCACAGAGGGAAAAAGCTCACACACAAGCACAATCTTCCCTCATTTTCATGATTTTCATGCCTTCTCGAGCTTGGTAGCAGACAATTCAGGAGGCTGCACTGCACTGAGGATTGGCCCAACAAGGCCGAAATGCGTCTGCAGTTGCCTTCCTGAATGGACCCAACTAGTGTTGCTCCAAACAGCGTATCTCTTTGAGGGAAAATTGTGCTTGTGTGTGAGCCTTTTCCCTCTGTAATGAGATATTAGCTTTAAGCCGAACTTTTCACGTACATAGCTAAACAACTCCATCAAAATCAGAGTCGTCATTGAGAAAATATTACGCAAGAAGGATGGATAAGATAAAAAAAACCTCTGTTATCACAGAAATACCATTCTGATGAGGATTTCAATACAATACTTACATAATCTTTGACATATTTGTGGGCTCCTTTGACAGGCGCAAGCGGCTCAGCCGGCAGAGGTGCTGCTGGCACAGCAGTTACATACTTCAGAGGGGCAGGCGCGTGATAAGCAGGTGCAGGGGTTGCTGCCACAGGAGCATAAGCCGCCACTGCTGGTTGATAAGCGGCCACCGGACGTTGATAAGCCGCCACTGGTTGTCGATAAGCCGGATACGCCGGTTCGACAGGCCCGTAGCCACCCGAGCTGTAGCCCGTCAGATGGGACCCGGAGACGTAGCCCGACTTAGCATAAGCCAGAGCTCCGACGGTTTCGTGAGCATGAGTAGCGTACGCCACCTTATCCTCAGCGCAGTCAACTTTTGCGTATTGCGAGCTGACGACTCCGTGAGCAGCAGGAGCATGCGACACGTACTGCGCGCTGACTACTCCGTGAACAGCAGGAGCATGCGACACGTACTGCGGGCTGACTACTCCATGCGCGGCAGGAGCGTGCGACACGTACTGTTGGCTGACTACTCCATGCGCGGCAGGAGCGTGCGACACGTACTGCGGGCTGACTACTCCGTGAGCAGCAGGAGCGTGCGACAGGTACTGCGGGCTAACTACTCCGTACGCAGCGTGTGATACATGCGCGTACTGCGGTTTGACTAGGTCGTAGTCCGAAGGCGCGGGGGTGTAGTGGACTTTGCTCGGGTCGAGCCGCGCCGCGAGCGTGTACTGCGGGTGGACGAGGCTGGGGTTGGGCCTGCCGACGACGGCGGGGATGGCGGCGGCGTAGCTGAGGACGGGCACCGGGGAGACGTAGCCGCCGTGGGAGGAGAGCGCAGGGACGGTCTTGATGGCCGGCACGGCCGCGGCGAGGGCTACCGGTTTAGCGTAGCCGTGTTTGTAGGGTCTTGCCGGGACGGGGTAGACCGGGGGGCGGGATGGGACCACAGGGTAGGCGCTCAATGGCTTCGTTGCTGCGGGGACTGCCGGGGCTGGGTATCCAGGCGCGTGGTCGCAGGGTGCTTTGTACTCGAGATCCGAGTCATAGTAGGCTCCTGCCAGTTGGGAGAGGATCACCGTTCCTAGTGCTGCTATCTGAAACAGAGGATGAAAGAAGATGAACGTTGACCGTTCTGGAAGGGGAAACAGGGTTTCAGTCCGTAAAGGCCCGGATACTATTCTGCCATGCTAATGCCGCAATCACCCGCTGAATGTGGGAGCTGAATGTGGCTTGAATGTGGAAGTCATCGGCCCGATGCCTGAATTTTGCGCGTAACGCGCAAAACTCAGCAACGATTCTCAGCAACCATCGGACTAATGTGAATTTGTCTGAACTATTCGAGTAGATTTGATACACATCTGGATGAAAATAACTCGAATTTGCTAAATTTTAGCCGTTGGCCGATGACTGTTGACTTCCACATTCAGCTGCTAAATTCAGCGTCTGATTGCGGCATAAGAAAGAACGCCGTATGAGCATTCAGACGTTGCCAAGTTTCCTTCGATAAAAACCGAATTTACTTGGAAAATCCTGAATATTGGGCCTCCAATTTTTCAGGAAATTTTGATTACAATTGAATCTAAAAGATCTGAAAATTTCAAGGAAAAATATGCAAAACTTTCTTCAACAATACATGTTTTATTCGGGCAAATTTGGCATTTCTCGAAGGTTCATACGGCGTCCTTCCTTAGCATGGCAGCATTGCGAGATACAAGCGCTTGCTCGAAGTGGAACACCAATAGACAATGAGGATTTCGATAGCTCGACGTCGAGCGATCGAAACCCTAGTTTCCTATCGGTAGTATTGGTGTTTCACTTTCAACAAACGCCTGTAACTCGCAGGTGTATCTCAACTCACACCAATCGGAAACCAGGATTTCGATCGCTCGACGTCGAGCTATCGAAATCCTCCCTGCCTTTGGTGTTTTACTTTCAACAAGCGCTTGTAACTCACAGGTGAGGGGCCGGCTTTAGGAAGTGACCACATGGCGGCAAATTTTGCAATTTTTTAAAATATAGGTACCTATAAAGAAAATCGGATTCGAAAAACGAGAGAAGGCGACTAAATCTCTAATCTCCTAAAAGTATAGTAATTTCTAATTTCGTCGTCTTTCGATGATACAAGAGACAGCACCTTTAATTAGTCGAGTTAAGAGAGAAACTAAACACGCAATTTAGCCTGGAGCGGCGCGGCGCAGAGAGCAATGATGACGAAGACTTGAGATGAAAAAGAGAAGCCCTTGGTGCGGCGGTCGGCATGTAACACATATTAGCGCCTGCAAGACTGCATGAATACTTAACGCATTGCGTCAAACACAGTGCGGTCAGCAGCCGTCGGCTGTTGGCGTGAAACGCATAGCGCCTGCAAGACTGCATGAATACTTAACGCATTGCGTCAAACACAGTGCGGTCAGCAGCCGTCGGCTGTTGGCGTGAAACGCATAGCGCCTACAAGACTGCGTGAATACTTCACGCATTGCGTCAAACATAGTGCGGTCAGCGCGGCGCGGCGGTGGAAGTTAAAATTATTAAACCACATTTTTGTTTGTTCTTTCATAATTTTTTCGTTCATTTATTATAAATGGAAGGCCTGTCCACATTGAGGTAAGTTTACGGAACTTAACTTTCGCGCTGAAAATGAAATTTTGCTAGTGTTGACACGGCTTTCACAAAAAATGTGCCCAACACGAGTAAACACGTCTTATGCACCACCCCCCCCCTCCGAAAAGTTCACTTGATGGTTTTTGTTGATGTTTCAAAACGAATGAGAGGGGACGGCAAAATACAAGCTGCCCGTGGGTGGCGAGTAGGTAAATTCGGCCCTGCACAGGTGTATCTGGGCCTTGAAATTTTCAAAAAGGGAGTAATTTTGGCAGAATCTTAGGGCTGTTGGAGGGAGACAAAATTTGCTGACTCTTCAAAAAGCATTTAAATATGCCATAAACTGACAAAACTTACTCCCATAAAAAGTCAATCTTCAAACGTAAGGGGGAAGGACACTAGGATAGTGCAATGCATACCTTACGCTTTCCCCAAATCTCGGCGCTTTTGGTCGAAACAAACTATTTTATAAGGGTTTTGAATTTGCAAATCTAACAACGCAGTTTAGAAGAAACAGTTATTGGAAATTGTAAAGTGCCACGATCAGGGCAGGGAGTTGCCAGACTGAAGTCCAACTTATGCCGTTTTTGGCAGCTCTTGTGTGCCAAAATTTTTGGCACACAAGAGCAGTTTCTCGCCGTAATCCTGGATTTGGGTTTCGAACAATCCTAAACCCAACTTTCATATTCTTACATCGAAAACTTCGAGATTAAAACCTTTAATGGTGATCGGTCTGACCCAATCCGAGGCCTGGTTCAGGAACAGAAATATATTGAGACCTGTGAATAACGTGAGAAGTTTTAATAAAAATTCTTGAGCTTGAAGGAAACTTTGCAGAGGAAAATATTAAGAGTAAAAAGAGAAGAGAAGAGTCGAGAAATGCTTCATATGCACTTGGCGGTGCTAAAAGTGTCAAGCTATCAGTGTAGTTTTTTGGTCAATCAGAAGAATTAATTTTCACAGGTTTGGCCTCTGAAGTTTTCTCATTCTACTGTTGATATTTCGTTTTTTTGTTGCCGGGGGCTCCCTGAGCAACCCACTAGAATTTGCGAGGTGCTAAGACACCCCATCACCCTTGGCCAGACCGCCCCTGCGAATATGGGAAAAATAAGAAAAGGAGGAGGAAGAAAAATAATAAGAAGAAAAAGAAGAATCATCAGTCTGCAAAGGAACGTCAAAAGCACATACCTACGTTGTTTTTAAAATGAGCCTGAACCATCAGTTCCTAACTGGGAAATGTAGTCAAAATGAGCCTTCCGATACCTATTTTAGGAATGTCTTCTGGATTGGATTAACATTTTTGGCGCCCCTGGGCTGAGCCCCGCTTGGCACCCCTAAAAACGGGTACTATCGTGGAAAAGGAGGGTTTCTAGGACAAAGCCCCCCCTCGACCAGAAATCAGATGTTAGCTAAACTGCCGTGCTAAGGAAAAACGCCGTATGAACCTTCAGGCGTTGCCAAATTTCTTTTGGTAAAATCACGAATATTCGGGAAAATTTGTCAATATTTTTCTTCCAATTTTTGAGAGAATATTGTTCTTTTGATCTGAATATTCTGAAATTTTCAAGGCTAAAAAAATGAACATTTTACTGAAGGATATTTTGCAACTCTTGAAGGCTCATACGGCGTTTTTCCTTAGCACAGCAGTAAAAGGAAGAAAGTTCAAATTCACCTTAAAGAAACACGATTTCAAACAAATTTGAGGTGCTCAGATGCGAAACATTTGATGTCGGAAGAAAGCAGGTTTTGAAAAGTAACGAGTGGCAGGAGACTCGAAAAATTATACATTTTTAGAATTCTATACAATTGTGCGCCCTTAGGCTATACTGCCGCGCTAAGGAAAAACGCCGCATGAACATTCGATAGTCGCCAGATTTCCGCGTATAAAACATGTATTTTTGAAGATAGTTATGAATATTATTCTCCTAAAATGTTCGGATAATTTCCACGTAATTACAAAGAACTTTCTCTGAAAAATTGAACGGAAAATGTTCAAGAGTTTTCCTGAAAATTCGCATTTAATCAGAGTGAATTCGGCAACTGACGAAGCTCGTACGGCGTTTTTCCTTAGAAATGCAATGTAGCCCATGCTGTCTTGCTAAGGAAAAACGCCGTATGAACCTTCAAGCATTGCCAAATATCCTTTCATAAAACGTGCAATTTCTGGCAAACTTATGAATATTTCCTACCCAATTTTCAGATGATTTTGTTCACAATTTCACCGAAAGATTCTGACAATTCCAAGGAAAAATATTCATACCTTTTCTCAAAAATAAACATTTTATCGAAGTAAATTTGGCAACTCTCGAATGTTCGTATGGCGTTTTTCCTTAGCACGGCAGCAAGTAGCCTGATGACAAAATCCAATATCTCCCGCAAAGAAAAGCGTGGCTGAAAATCCGAGAGCCTCACGAAATGATTCGAGGGTGAACTTACCAGTGCGCGCATCTTGACTCGGGAGCATCCACCTAATGAATGGTAAAGCACTTGACACAAAACCTGCACCAGATGACCGCGAGCGCGAAACGGGATCGCGGATGGCGGAGCGGGCGAGTATTTGCATATGGTGTCCTGGACGGGATATATATAAACTCGGTCCTTGCCCCCTCCCCCCCCCCCCCCCCGAGAGCCGCGACCCCCTGCCGGCCCCCGATGCCCGGCAGCCGGCACCCCCGCCAGACTAGACAGGGAGGAGGGGAGTGGCAGGAGGAGGAGAGTCCCCCGGGAATCATCGTTGCCGGTATCCTGGGAAAATATACCTGTCGCAGGCAAATGGTAAAATCAGGCATTCTGTCAAATACATACATATCAAGCCGCTACCTCAGTGCACTAGAGCGCTCTGCGACCCCAAATCGCCATCGGAATCGATCCTCCCACAAATCATCGGGCAGATTACACCGTCTCATCTCCCCCTCCACTCCCTCTCGCCAACCTTTTAATTCTGTCAAATGCCTCGGCAAATAGTCAAATATTCTAACCGAGATTGAAATTCTGATTATTTTCCTCGTTTTAGACAAAATAACTGATTGCTCCTATGAGAAAAAAATTTTCGTAAAAATTTGCATCACACAAAAGTATTTTAAACGATTAACTCCTAAACAGACACTCATCTCGGAATTTTCAGCATGTCCTAAAATACTGATTTTTTAGAATTTCAACAGTTAAAAATATGAGAAAAAATTGAAGAGAAAGAGATGAAAAGAGTTCGTAGGTTTGATGAGTTATTTTTCCAAAAAATATTGAAAACTCGTGAACTCTTCGCCATGAGTTCACAAAATATTGTAGACCGTCAAAATTTAACTATCTGCTCAGGCATTCGACAAAATGCCTGATTTCATTATTTGCCGGCGACATACCCGAAGGTTTTACTAACGTAAGTAGACGGGGTGAATATTAAGCGCTTTACTGAGAGAACAATTATTATCAAAATTACCAGATAAGCGGTGTTCCGCATGAACTCTCCATTGATAGAGGCTGTAACGAATAATACTTGCGCTTTTCACCACATAGTGATAATTATTTTACTACAGTAATGGTAAAACACCACTAGCTTGGTTATTTGTAATTACATCGTTTTCTCATTGTGCAACACATATTCTCCGTTGCAAAATTTTCCGTCGAACACGGTGGAAACACAGACGATTTCCAAATTCAACTCAGAAATCAGCGTATCCTGTGTTCATCAATTCACTGCACTTATACAATACAGCTTACATTGGAGCACCTGGATAAGATTCTTTATCATGAATGCACGCAGAACAAGGTATACATATGTTAAACATTCCCAAAATTAACTGATAGGTAAGGGTCAAATCAGTGTATTCGTAGTTCATATAAAAATTGATAAAAACTTTAAAATCACGAAGAAAAAAGAAAAAACAAAGTCAATTTAGATCAACTTGATGTCGGAAAACTTTACTATTAAGTTATGCAAATAGCTTAAGAGTTTATCATATCTCATTTTTCGTGAGATATAATTTTTGTAACTTCACTGTTACGAAATTGTGAGCACAATGAAAAAGTTATTTTGTCGCACAGTACGTGACTTAATTTAATTTCCAAATTGTTTGAGTTGTGTGGTATTCATGGTAGAGGGAGAATTTAAATCGACGAATGCGGTTAATTCCGCACATGCGTACGAATTGCGATTGGAAACCGAGTTTTCACACACAGTGGATTACATCTTGCAATTATGAGCTACTATCTCTGACTCTCCCATAAAAGCACATATCTGCATAGGAAGTCAATGGCATGTACGTTGTTTCTAAAATGGGCCAGAAATAGTGGTTCCTTACTGCAAAATGTAATCCAAATGTCCATCTAAAGAATTAAGCATGACAAGGTGTCTGGAAAGTCGCGCACCGAAACACGTGGTGTGGGAGTTTCATCGTTAATATATTCAATTATAATACTCGAGAGTGAATACAGGCTTTTTCATTTTCTGTTTGGAAATAGATCCTTTTCGCTCCGGGGCGCTAAAGTGGCAACGTCTGTTTTGAGCGAACCCAAAAGCTGCAGAAGGCGGATCTATAGTCATTGTCCGACGTCAGTTCGAAAGAGTTGTACGATTTCAGTTTCCCTTTTTCTGAGTGCCGAATGGCCTTATGCGCTTGCAGCTGGCCCCTTTGCACAGTGCGCCTGAGGCCAAGCTTCTTCTGGACGAGAAGCCTTTTTAGAGGGGAGTTGGTGAAATAGTAAGTGCGATACAGAATATCCGAAACCATACACCCTATCTGCGAATTATAACTAATGATAACGGTGTACCTGAGTAGAACAATTTTCTGAGTGAATCATTTGCTCAGTGCTCCTGTTTTCCCGTAACTAGTCACACATTTCGGAACCTTTGAGATTTTCCTATATTTTTGAAACTTTTGCAATTCCCGAAATGTTCCGGATCTTTTGCATTTTTCGGAACTTTTCAAAAAATCTAAGAAGAATTGCGGAACTTTTGACGGTCGTGGAATGGGAGCACAATACATTTGCTAAAATAAATGCAAAACAAAAATAATCGAATAAAATATTAAAGCTTCTTGTCCATAAAAACGTCTGGACATAGACTCAGGGCTCATGAATATGATTGAAAGCACCAATAAAAAAAATCCGTCATGTCTCGACGAGCATGTCTTGGTGCCGATGAAAAAGAAATTAACCCTAATTTTTTTTCCCATTTAAATCTGAAAAAGTGACCACCCAAAAATTTAGGAACATCTTCTAGAAATTTCGTATCGATAGTGAGAAGCATGATTTTTCATGTTTTATGAGCCCTGAGTCTATGTCCAGACGTTTTCATGGACAAAAAGTTTCAATATTTTGTTCGATTATTTTTGTTTTGCATTCGCTGATTATCTGCAGAAATCGAGTGGAAGTTTTTTAATAGGGTATTTATAGAACATTTTTGTCATTTCGTGGATGAACTCAAGCTCCATTTTCTTAATTTTTACGGGAGAAGCATTGTATTATCTAAAATAAGTGCACTTCAAGCAAAAACGCCGGAGACTTGAACGCTGGACCAGAAAAGTAAGATTGTACTAACTTTACTTTCTGACGCTATTCCTTGCGAACACCCTGTACATCGATCCTCTTCCATAGGTTTAAATGGAAAACCAATGGATTTATCGCAAAGCACGCCACGCCATTGATCTCATCTCCGGGTTGATTATTGAAATTGATAGACAAAGCGATAGACAAAAAAGACTTAGGGAGTATGGAGCGACCCTAGTGATTGAAACGGGTGCGGTTGTCATAGACTAAGGAGGAAAATGATGGACTAACTTTGGAGTCTCTCATGGGTCGCGGTTAGTTAATATACTGCTTAAGTCCGGTGTTCATTGCAGCCATCCGCGTCCACAAATAGGATCGCTTTATTTCCAGTTAGTCATCCTTGTCTATAGCATTTTAATGCCAATTTGGCTGGCTTTCATAGAACATGGTTAGAAGATTGAAATAATCGAGCTACAAGCCAAAAATAAATTAAACAAATAATATTTCAAACTACATAGATATGAAAAATACTAAAATACTTGCAGGAAACAAAACAAAACAAAACACACGTTCCGACCGCAAACACTGCGGTCTTCTTCAGTGCAACAGGTGGAAACCTGTCAATGTAGTTTGAAATATTATTTGTTTAATTTATTATTGGCTTGTTGCTCGATTATTTCAATCTTCTTACTTTGTCTATAGCTTTGTCTATCAATTCAATGATCAGCCCCCTGTGCATTTTAAACCATTCCATTTCGGTTGGAAATCGAGGACAACCACTTTGAGAATGAAACGCTTTCCGTTTGAGGAGTCAAAGCCATGAAATCTAGCCAGGACCGCTTTTAAAACCACCGTGCGGTGCCTCGCGCTGATAAGTGTGAATCTGAGTTTGTGTGGGTGTGTCCCTGGCCGAAAGACCCCTGTGAGTAAAAGTGCAAGCTAATAGCTTTTGCAGAGCTTTATTTCTTTGGCTGCTGACCCGGTGGTCCGACCACCTAGAAGCCGAAAGCACCTGTTCCTTTTTCGTTAAAGCAGCTACCGCTATCCGATACCTGAACCTGCCAGCACCAAATCTTTTGGCTACTCTAGCGGACAATACTCGTGCCGTACACGCCTTGGCCCTGGTCCCAGCCGAATTTCTTCCCTTTTATGATTAATCGCCGGAAAAGCACATTGACTTCCCAGGCGGATCCAGCAATTTGGCAACGCCGGACTCCCTCCATTTAAACCTATGTTAAATAATCGATTCTTGTTGGAGCACCTGGCCCCTCGAAGAATCGATACATTTCCATGGGTTTAAATGGAGATTGGATCGATAAAAATAGTGGACTCAAAGAAGAGATTGTCTGCACGAATATTTAGTTTATTATTATATTGTTCACGGGTGAGTCCAGATTGGAAGTGCATTTTGCAGTAAACGCACATTTTACTTTGTAGGTAATTTAATATCTTCGGTTTAAGCTCCGCGTCCAGAGAATTGCCGTTGAAAATGTCGATTGAGAGAGAGTAGACGAAAAGAACTATACATCGATAATTTTAAATTACATTTAGACTATCCGAGTCATAGGGACACATTTTTTAAGCAAGCGGCGCACGGTGGATCGAGTTAATGGGAGAGGTCGGACGAATTGGAAACTTTAAAAGCTCATAACAAATTTTAAGGGTTTAAAAGGGCTTCTATTGGCGTCCTCGTAAAATTGTCCTCTAAAAGCACCCCTTGAAGTTTAAAAAGTGACGAGATTTGCAGTTTTAGTCAAAAATTTCATTGCCGACCTCTCTAATTGACTCGATCCGCCGTGCGGCGTTTGTCAAGTTGGATCGAAAAATTGGAAACTGGTTTTTCAAGCAGAGATAAACATCTTTAAGTCTTGCAGGGATAAGTTTCGAGCCATTTATTTTTTTTTCTTAGTCAAGGTCGTTTTACTTTGTGATCCGCCTATTCAAACGCATCGAAAACAGCAAATTAAAATATTTGAATCCCTGTACCTCAAAACTACATTTTATGCATTGCAAATTTTTGATAGGGTTACAGGTAATTACACTTTTATTTTTTAAAAAAAAT